TTTGGTTGTATTTTGGGGTTTAATTTAAAATGTATAGTAATGTTTTTTATAAGGATATTATATTTTGGGGTGCAATATGCTGTTGTTGCCTGTGGCCATTTTATTTATTTTTTAATTGATACATTTATTCAAATTTCATAATGTACAGTTTATAGACAGGCTGAAAGGAAACAAGATGCATGATTTTAATTTTATATTTTACTTAGTTTTAGGGGTGTGAAATAGCTTGGCACCTCAAATTGATGCACCTAAACTACATCACCAGTTGCATTGCCCCTAAAACAAACATTCTGACCTTGGATACACACCAAGTGGGCTGTGTTCATCCATAAATCTGGTCCATGTCATCGCACTGTTGCTAGGATAGCAGGTTATTGCGGTTGACAGACTGGTACTGCTGCCTGTTGTTTTTTATATTGGAGTCTATGTATTCTCCTGGTACATGTTGTGTGGGCTTCATTTTAATGATCTTATTTTGTCCAAGAGAAGCAGAACATACTGGAAAGTAGATTGGCTTCTGACCAAACTATCTTTTTTGCATGTTCCTAAATGACTCCTGCAGAAAGTAACAATTTTTCAACTTTGCTGTATGAGGATTCCAAGAAATTATTACAAAATTAAATAAGCAACAAATGCAACTCTTGTAAGCACTGCATTAGACTCCTGTCAGTAGAAGGAAAGAAAGTATGTGCCACAGAATGCAGAATCGGAGGGATTGCCAGCAATAAGAACTAATTAGACTGTGCTGCAGTACATGTGCAAAAACATGTTGACAGGAGGAAAGAACAGACTGACAGAAATACAAATCTTCTGTCAGGTAAAATGTCACACGTGTGTGTTTCATGATTTCTTTTCAGTTCAGCTTTATTTTATTTTTAAGTACTGTAGAGCAGGGGTAGTAAATTAAAATTCAAGGAGGTCCAGTGAGTAAAATTTTCATTATAGAGAGGTCCAAATCATGGTCCGGACAGAACGGATACTCAGTCCGTCTCTGTACTGCTGTCTGCCATTAAGGCTGCATTCACACCAGCACTTTTCACAAGTGACATTTCATTAAGCTCTATGGGCACAGCGCAGTGCAATGCGGTGGTGGCCTACATGCAGTACTTTTTTCCAGCACCAACAACTAGAACATCTTGGTGTGAACGGAGCCCATTTGTAACAAGTCAAATGGCCTTGCCTAGCGTTGGGGCTGCACTGGAAAAAGTGGCCAGAACAGCCCTGATGCATCTGGTGTGAATACAACAAATGTAACCGGGAACTCCAATGGAAGCAACAGTTGTCCCCATCAAAGTGTCCCCTCACATTGGTTGTCCCCAATAGAGTGACACCTTACTTTCGTAATTAATGTAAGGTGGCACTCTGATGGGGACAACTAATTATTATCAGAATCAAATAACGGGTGGCAGGGTTGGGCTTTTTTAATTTATTTTTTTATACTATTTTTTACTTTATTACCTTTTTCTTAATTAAAATTTTTGTTTTCACTTAACTTTTACTATCATAAAGTGGCTATCAAATCCCATCCCTATGTGACAGCATTTGGAGGTGACTGGTTCTCTTTATGGAAATATTTCAGGGGTCTATTGGACTTCTAATGTCTCCCCAGGATTGTGCTTTGGTGTCTGTTTACCCGGTACATCAGCCAGGTTTGTGACAGCTCTGAAGCATAGAGATTCATTTCTGCTTCATTGATCACAAAGCAGATTGGGGAATGAATGTTCCTCTCGGTCTGCTCCCGCTCTCCATCCTGTTCCCATTTTCCGTGG